CTGGAGTATTAAGCATCTTTAATTATTAATTGTGTCCCTTTTGAGAGAATCACACCAGCCATTCCAAAACCTTCAATGAGTTTAGCAACACCGTCTATTATACAATGTTCAGAGCCACTTGGAGAAATTTCAATTAATTCCATATCTTCGAAAAGATAAAAGTGATCAAATATTAGTCCAATAATGTAATATAAACAATACTTTATTCATTAAAATGTACATAACTTTTACAATCGAAATAAGCACACCAAATAAAAATTACAATACAACAAACTTTTATTGTAGAATATATTACACAACAGAAATTTTTTGTTTATTTTTATTTTTCACACATAACGATGTTGGTGTTCATCTCATAATCATCCATAGAGAAATTAGACACAATAAATGTAGGCATTGGAGGAACGTTTTCGTTGATGTAGTTTATTTCCACATTCTTTCCTTTTAGAGATGATTTATTCATTTATATAAGTCAACCAAATGTTTAGGTGTACGACACTTATTTGCCCAATGTTTTTTGGGAAGAAAACAAGGAGTGAGATATATTGTGTACAATATGGAGTTATTAATTTCAAGAGCAGATTTTGTTCCTATAAAAGTTTGTCTTTCTTCTATCTTCGTTGATTTCTTTTACATAAAATATAGCTATAATTCTCTGATATGAAGGATCCCAATTCTTGAGCAATCATAGACTATACTTCTTATAGTTTTGAATATATTTAAACATGTTCATACTTCTCAACCTCTTTTTTTTCAAATGAATTGATAAATTCGTGAAAATATATACCTGTTGGGAAGATGATGATTTCAGGGATTTGGAACAAATTCGTGTTGATAACGTGTTATAAAATGGAAGGAAATAAGCAAAAATTTATGGAAAAATTATATTAAGTATAAAGATGTTCTTGAGAGTGTATTAGATGTGTTCTAATGATGTATTAATTACCATGAGAATGACTTCTATTTATAGGAGAAAGTGTGAGCTCAATGAGATTAGAAGATCATTGTGAGCCACACATTTCTCACTTTTAAATCATAATTATGATTCTCTAATTATTTATATTATGGTGATAATAATTTCTAATAAAAAATAGTTGGAAGATGACTAATTCAATTATATTTTAACACTTGTCTTATTTAAAGTCCAATCAATAATAGCCTAATGTGTCCAAACGCAGTTGGCATTGCTGTTAAGCTAAACTTAGCTTGCATAGTCACATAATCATATAGCATCGTATAATCCTCCGTATGAGACATTGATGACTCAATTGCTCAAACGAAAACACGCATTCATATCATTGATAATTAGAGCCCGTTTGGAGAACTCTGATTTCGGCTTATCAGGCTTATCAGCCAGCTTTTTCACCAAACACGTAACTTTTACTTTCGCGCGCTGAATTGGGTAATAAGCCGAAAAAGTAAGGTTGGAGTTACTTTTCTGGCTGTATTGGCTGAAGTTACTGTAGAAGACCATTTTAGCTATTTTTACATATAATTTTTTCTTTAATTTATTAATAAAATATATTTTTAAAATATTTTTTTCTTAAATCAGCAGAATCAGCCAAAACAGCCACTCCAGCCAGAATATCATAAATTTCAGCAGAATCAGCCAAAACAGCCGATTTTGGTGCTACCAAACGGGCTCTTATATTATACTTTTAGAATGGTAACTTTAGGATAAAACCACGTAAACCAATCAGTAGATCCATTAGATCGAATGAGATAATGAAGTACAAAAGTTCCACATGTTTTTCCCTTTTGTGTATCACAATTTTTAAATAATTAATTTGATTTAAACTCGTAAGCATATTCGCTGAAAAAGCATTTGTACAATGTTTTCTATTTTCATGCGATGATAACTGATCAATGGTAAAGTTTGGTCAATCACCCAATCATACTCTCTCATTATTTAAAGTATCACTACATTAAGTCTTGACACAATATTTAATGGAGAATTAACATAGATAATGAGTAATGTAGAAAAAATAGGAGAGAGGGTGAAAAGGTAGGAAAGACAAGATAAAAAGTAGAAATAATAAGAGTAGTTGGGTTTTTATTTTCATAAAATAACTAAAGTGAAATGTTGTTGAACACATATTTTTTTCAAAAAATATATGAAGTATAACACTTACTTCGAAACAAGTCAAAAAAAAAAAGTAAGACAGCTAAAACGTGACAGAATAAATATGATTTAGGTAATTGGACAAAGTAGTCTTCATGTTTGGCCGGCCTAACGGGAACCACCGTCCAGCCGATCCAATTTGGGGTCCTTCCCGGTGAATTTTCAAAAAAATTACACCGGGAAAACCCCCAAATGTGCTCGGCCGGACGGCTGTCCCGATGCTTGATATGAAGTTTCATCTTGGAAAAAACTCTTACCAGTATAGGTTTTTGGAAACGAAGCAAGGAGAAATGGGTCCTTAATCAGTTAATTGGAGGACACATTTATGAAAACAGCCCTAAGACTCTAAGAGCATTCACCATGGGAGGTCAATACCCGCACGGGTAGCTCAGTTGGTTGAGTGGTGGAAAACTGGATCATGGAACCCAGGTTCGAGTCCCCGCAGCGACCGTGTAGAGGCCACAACCTCTGAAATGGGCTGGACCTCTGGCGTGCACGAGCATATGGGCCTACTGCCACTCTGCCGACTGAGTCACCGTGATTTACATCCTCCCAATCTGCCCTTTCGGGTCGGGGTGTGGGGCTCCGGGGGTGGGAGATTCCACCTTTTGGATCAACTATGGGATGCCAATTGGGGATATAAAAAATTGATCTCACTTGATCCCCACTATGGGAGGTCAATAGACTAATTGATCAACAAGGAAGCTCAAGAATCGGACACAAAAATTTAGAGAAGGCATGTGATTAACCAATTGAAGAAGACCATGTGGCTTTTATTTAGCATGAAGCCACTTAGCCACCAATCTCATCCAACATCCCCAAACTCTCTAATTTCATTTATTATTGATTAAATTTAATTTATTGTAAAAAAGTATACCAAACGATTAGATTTTTTCCTCTATAAATAGACACCAATGAAGGATATATTTAGTCACTTCGAAATTTACCACTTCTTTCCCTCTTGCATTTTATTTTATGTGTTTTAGAATGTTTTTTCCTCTGAAAATGGATCCAGCCCGTTCTCTACCTAGATACAATGCCAACAATAAATAATTATAGTGGGTCAAATGTGGATTTTATATTCCTTTTTCAAATTATATAAATTAATATTGGTGGAATATACCAAAAATATAGAGAGAGGATGTACAAATTTTAAATGGACTAGATCACTATAGTGGAATGAAAATTTGATAAGTTAGAGGAGATTAAGTTTTTTTTTGTAGAAAATAATTTGGAAGATAGAAGAGGGTAGGGGTGGGCATGGGTCGGGACGGTTCGGGATTAGGGTTATCCCGGTCCCGTCCCAATTAATAATAACGGGACGGGACGGTACGGGACAAGCCTTTGTCCTAGTCTTGTCCCATTTAAATCGGGACCGGGATGATTCGGAACGGTTCGGGACGGTTCGAGATGTCCCAAACCAACAAAAAATAATCATTTGTAATTAATATATATATATATATAGGGAAAATGGAAACTAATAATTCAACCTTTTAGCGGTCTTCTTTTAATAATCCCACCTTTTGATTATTCATGAATAATCCAACCTTTGCACCTCATCTTCATTCATTGGTCCCTGGTCGGTTAATGACCTACTATTCCAAGTTATTTTCTTATCTTTGCAAAATATTATCTTTGTGAAAGATGAGATTTATGGTATAATGATTTGCAAAGATAAGAAAATAGCTTGAAATAGCAGGTCATCAACCGGTCAGGGACCAGTGAATGAAGATGAGGTGCAAAAGTTGGATTATTCATGAATAACCAAAAGGTTGGATTATTAGTTTCCATTTTCCCTATATATATATATATATATATATATATATATATATATATTAGCATTTCTAAAGTATCATGCAACAAAATATTACTACGTAACATTTTAAAAGTCAATTGATGTTCATCAAAAGCTATCTATTTACAAAAATCTAAAAGCTATTAGATTTAGCAAAATTTGAAATTATAATTTAAAACAAATCAAAAAAGAATTAGTTTATTCGAAATTATGTGTTCTAGTTGTGAGATACGCATATGTAGATATATAAAGTGAGATAAAAACCTATGTTAGTAAATATTTATGTTAGGTATTATTTTTAATTTAAAAATTGGGATTGAAAAACTAAAAACATGCTATCATTTATTTTTTGAGTTGACACTACAAACTATATAGTTATTACAAACGGGACAACGGGACGGTTCGGGATAACCTTCCAATGTCCCGGTCATGTTCCGTTTTAAACCGGTACGGGACTGGTGCGGGACAAAATCAATGAGACCCAAACGGAACGGGACAACACCGGTACAGTTTCGAGATATACAGGAATGGGACAACGGGACCGGGATTCTTGCCCGCCCCTAGAAGAGGGGATCAAAACCCATCCGCGATTCCGCATTGATTGGGGGTTAACCTATGTTATTGGAGGTTTAATTTTTAGTTAACCTCGCTTGTTTGTGTTTTTGCAACAAGAACCTAGGTTATAACTTAACCTCACTTAACTCCCGAGAACTTAGAAACACCTCAAAATTGAAGAACCTCCGAATCGGGGGGTTTCAGAGGTTAAGTTCCCGTTCAACATAAAATAAACTAGAGTACCTTCATCCAAACAACATTTATGACATTAATCTAGGTTCACCTTATTTATTTCCAAATGCCATTCTACGCATGAACCTAAGTTCACTTCGATTAACCCATTTTTTATTAAAACTTTGGTTTACTTTATTGCACTAGGTTTATTCAAGTTCACTCCATCCAAACATAGCATAAGGAACTCTTCTATTGCACAACCCGCGAAGCAACTGCCATTCCTTGAACAAATAAGACGTTGCCACTTGTCACTCTTCTATTGAATACGGATTGTCTTCCAGTCGAAGCAAACTTCCATAGAGATATGGAGATAGATCCATCACCTTCACTCCTGGGTTCTATATATACTCGCTCTCTTGTGGATAGCTAATGCACGCTTCAACCATGGCGATCCGTTCAATCATCCTGCTCTCATTATTCTCTCTCATATCGACAACGTCTTTGTTGGCTCTGGCGGAGGCGGGCGGCGGCGGCAGTGACGACATTTTGATCCGTCAAGTCGTCGGGGACGAAGACGGCCTGTTGAATGCCGACCACCAATTCACCTTTTTCAAAAAGCGGTTCGGAAAGGCGTACGCCTCCAAGGAAGAGCACGATTACAGACTCTCGGTGTTCAAGGCTAACATGCGCCGTGCAAAGCGCCACCAGCAGCTCGACCCCTCTGCCGTCCACGGTGTCACTAGGTTCTCTGATTTGACTCCATCCGAATTCCGGCGAAACTTTCTCGGATTGAACCGCCGGCTCAGGTTCCCTGCTGATGCTCATACAGCGCCTGCCCTTCCCACCGACAATCTCCCGTCAGATTTCGATTGGAGGGAGCACGGTGCCGTTACTCCCGTAAAGAATCAGGTTCGCATCCACCATTGTTGTTGGATAGTGTTTTGGTAATTGAATCTTCAGAGTAGATTTTTCTTCCAATTGATGAAAAATTATGATCAATATGAGAGAGATCTGAATATTCAATAAATCATGAACTATTATATGAGTTGAATTTAATCATTGCTGGCCTGGGATTTGAAAAATTGAAAACAGGGGTCGTGCGGTTCATGCTGGTCATTCAGCACCACTGGAGCATTGGAGGGAGCCAACTTTCTCGCCACTAGGAAGCTTGTGAGCCTTAGTGAGCAACAGCTTGTTGATTGTGATCATGAGGTCTGATATTTTCAGCGATTTGTTATGGCCTGTTTGTTTTTGCTTTTTGGTGAAACTAAATTATTTTAGTTTCAACTCCTATAGGCCTATCTAAAGTTTTAATCCTTCACCTAAGTTAAGTTTGCAATCAACTAAAAAAGGAATCATTATAATTGTATGTATATATAGACTTGGGTTCACTCAAATTTTACTAAACTAAGTTTATTTAAGCTTATTTCATCATTTGGTATGGAGCAACAGACTCACATTTTTTGTTTGGAAATATGATAAAATAAAACAAAATGACTTATGAAGAAAGATAGAATATATGGGAAATATTTTCTGTATTTCTCAAAGATTACAAACGTGTATGGCCAAATATATACAACTCGGTAATGCCGAGTGCTATACAAACTACGTACAAACCATGCGTGGTTTTAGGAAAGAAAATCGCAAGTTATAAATGCTAAAGACTTTCCTAGTCTAACACTAAGACAAATACGTACACAAGATGTTACATAAAATTAATAAATTAATGATGTAGGCTAACACCCCCCCTCAAGATGGAGCATGGGGGTCACAAATGCCCATCTTGCCGAGTAAATAAGAAAACTGGTGAGCACCAAGGGCTTTAGTGAAGAGGTCCGCTGGTTGCTCGGTGGTAGGTGTGTAGTTCGGAGCAATGGTTCCAGCTTGTATGTGATCACGGATGAAATGACAATCAAGCTCGATGTGTTTGGTGCGTTCATGATAGACTGGATTGGATGCAATATGCAGTGCGGCTTGATTGTCACAATAGAGGCGAACCGGTCCAGGGTGGGTCACCCCCAAGGAACGAAGAAGGTTTCGGAGCCAAATAAGTTCACAAGTTAAGGATGCCATGGACCTATACTCGGCTTCTGCAGAGGAGCGTGAGACAGTAACTTGCTTCTTGGTGCGCCATGAAATTGGAGAGAAGCCGAGAGATACAAAATATCCAGTAACCGAGCGACGAGTGACTGGACAACTTGCCCAGTCAGCATCGCAGTAGCCAGTGAGAGATAGAGAGGAGTCGGAGCGTAGCAATATACCTTGTCCTGGTCGTCCTTTGATATATCTGAGTACACGATGCACGGCCTCCCAATGGGCCAGTCGGGGATTTTGCATAAATTGTGAAAGAATATGTACGGAATAGCTAATATCAGGTCTGGTTAAAGTCAAATAAATAAGTTTCCCAACCAGCCTGCGATAGCGTTCAGGATCAGAAAAATAAGGACCCGCATCAGATTGCAAATGATGATTTTGTACCATTGGAAATGCAACTGGCTTGCAACCAGACATCCCGGTTTCTGACAAAATATCAAGGACGTACTTTCGTTGACATAGAAAAATACCAGTGGGATTCCGTGCAACTTCAATCCCAAGAAAATATTTCATAACACCCAGATCCTTGACAGGAAATGTAGCGGCCAAATATGTTTTAAACGCATCTATCATGTCACGACTGTTGCCGGTGATTAGCAAGTCATCAACATATATGAGCACACAAAGAATTCCACTATCTCTGCGCATGGTAAACAAGGAATAATCTGCGTGTGATTGTGTAAAGCCATAATCGCGCAAGGAGGTAGTTAATTTAGAAAACCAGCATCGTGGTGCCTGGCGCAGCCCATAGAGAGAACGGAGTAAGCGACACACCTTTCCAGGAGACGATGCAGAGTATCCTTGGGGAAGATGCATATAGACCTCTTCGTGAAGATCTCCATGAAGAAAGGCGTTATCTACATCCATCTGATGTAGCTCCCAGTGACAAGAGGCAGCTACCGCTAAAATGGTACGTACCGTTACCATTTTAGCAACCGGAGCAAAGGTGTCACTGTAATCGATGCCCTCAACTTGGCGATTTCCACAAACAACGAGCCGAGCCTTATAACGCTCCACCGATCCGTCACTTCTGTATTTGATTTTGAACACCCATTTACAATAAATAGCTCTCTTGCCGGGGGGCAAATCTTGAACCTTCCAAGTCCCGGCACTCTCAAGGGCTCGTATTTCTCGGCTCATAGCCTCCCGCCAACATGGGTCTCGAACTGCCTCTCCATAGCTAGCGGGTTCCTTGGTCATGCTGATAGCTGCAAGAAAGGCTCGGTGCGGAACCGAAAAATGGTCATATTTGATATAATGAGATAGTGAATAAGGAGTACCTGATTCGGCCGCAGGAGTAGGCTTGACGACGGGGTGAGAGTTTATTTTAACCGTGTGCATTTGTACAGCATAATCCTTATGCCATGCAGGAGCTGTACGCGGACGAGTACTTCTGCGGGTCTGCCCGGAAGTGTTTACACTTGTGCGAGCATCTACATTATTCGCATCCAGCCCATCACCCATATCAGTCAAAGATGCTTGAGAATTTGCTCCCTGGTGTGGAAGTACGTCGGTCTCCCCATCATGAGCTTTAGTTCCTTCACACATGTCACCCACGTCAACCTCTTCATCCCCATTTTCGTGGAATTCCCATGCAAGGAGATTTTCCATGCCATCCTCCTTATTCCTCACAGCAGACTTCTCAACTTGGAAAGGAAATTCGTTCTCAACGAATTTGACATCACGAGAAATAAAGTGACGTTTATTCTGTAGATCATAAACCTTCCAACCCTTTTGGGAATATGCATATCCCAAAAACACACATTTTATGCCCCTAGGGGCAAATTTATCACCGCCAGTTTTTGATGCATGGGCATAGCAAAGGCAACCAAAGACCCGTAGTTGATTATACAACGGTATTTTGTTATATAGCAACTCATAGGGACTTTTATTATCTAACATAGGAGTAGGTAAGCGATTAATTAAATATCCCGCGGTTAACACACACTCCCCCCAAAAATGTATAGGTAAATTCGCATGAAAGCGCAATGTCCTAGCCATCTCCAAAATATGCCTATGCTTCCGTTCTACTCTTCCATTCTGTTGAGGGGTGTACACACAAGACGTTTGAAATATTATCCCATTATTCAGAAAATATTCTTGGATACCCACAAATTCTTTGCCATTGTCACTTCTCACTATCTTCACATTTCTATCAAATTGTCTATTCACCATGGCAAAAAATTGTTTAAGGATAATTTTAACTTCACCCTTGTCTTTCATCAGATGTACCCACACAGCTCTAGAAAAATCATCTACCACAGTCAAGAAATAATGAGCACCACAAGATGACATAACACGATACGGACCCCAAATATCACAATGTATCAATTCAAATGGTTCAATTGCTCTAGCACTACTAGTAACAAAACTATCACGCGTTTGCTTGCCTCTCATACAAGCATCACACGTTTTATTTTGAAGAGAATTCAACAAAGTTTTATTCAAGTAACCAAGTGAACGTAAAACTTGTATCGATGGATGTCCCAACCTTGAATGCCACAAAGTTCCCGAATCCGAACCTCCCACAGCAAGTGCTTGTGCTTGTTCCAGACCTCGGAAATAATAAACTCCACCTCGCCGTTCACCCACTCCAATCGGCATCCTCGTAAGTAGGTCCTGTATTACACATAAATCATTAGAAAAAAATATGTCACATTTTCGATCATTAATCAATTGCCCCAAAGAAATCAAATTGCATTTTAATCCGGGAACCAATAAGACGTTAATCAATTTAATGCTTCTACTGATCACAACGCTTCCCACATGTGTTGCCTTGGTAATATCACCGTTCGGCAATGTTACTGCCACCGACGGTATTCTGACAATCTCCGTAAGAGCATTGGTATCACCGGTCATGTGATACGAGGCACCCGAATCGAGAAGCCATCCGTTAGTAATCTGTGTACCTGAGAGCTTTTCCTCCGAACTGGAAGCCTTGCAGTTCTCCATTAACTTGACAAACATCTGCCATTGCTCATCGGTAAAGCTCGGTTTATGTAGAGTAGTTATCTCTTTTCCTCCCTGCTGCATGCCATTCTCCGGGTGATGTCCTCCAACGTGCATGGCTTGCGCGCCACCACGTCCAGCACCCCTTCCCGTACCTCCACGTCCGGAACCTCCACGGCCTGGTCCAGAACGTCCCCTTCCTCCTCGGCTTGTTGCAGAACGCCCTGGGTTGTCTTGCCACCAATCTGGGTATACTCCAGTCCGACGGAAGCAGTTCTCGATTTCATGTCCCGATTTGTGGCAGAAAGTACACTTGACGCGTTCCTCTTTTCCGGCAGTAGGTCCGACGCGCGCAGCAAAAGCTACTGCCTCCGTTTTTTCTTCTTTTCCTCGCGTCAAATTCTGATGCCGCTCTTCTTGTATCACCAATTGATACACTTTAGTCAGTGAAGGCAGGTCGTCATCCGTCCCCAGTATGTTAGATCTTAAAGTCCCATATGTCTCTCGATCAAGTCCCATTAGAAAGTCATGAATTTTTTCAGATTCCATGTGCTTAAGGAACAGCTTATTGAGATCACACGTGCATCCATTGCACTTGCATTGGGGATAATTTCGTACTCCATCATATTCTTCCCACAGAGATTTCAGTTGCCCGAAGTACGAAGTAATCGTTTGACCATGTTGTTTACAATCTCGAATGAGTTCTTTGAGTTCATGTGTTCTCATAGCGTCCGCTACCGAGAACCGCGCCTCCAGATCAGTCCAAAGAGCATGCACACTCTCCATGTAGGCAAGATTGGTTCTCAAGGCCGGATCCACAGAGGTCATAATCCATCCAACCGCCATGGAGTTAACGGTTAGCCAGTCTTCAAGATCCTTCGGTGCAGTTAGGGGTCGCACGATTGTTCCGTCAAGAAAACCCATCTTCCGTTTAGCCCGGAATGCGTTTTTCATGGCCGTACTCCATTCCCGATAATTATTCTCTCCTTTGAGAGAGACCGCACATATCATCATGCCCGGGTGATCCGAGCTTGACAGAAAATAAGGAGATGAAGGATCGTTAATTTTCCTTCGTTCCAAGTATTCTCGGTGGCCATCCCCACCGCCTGAGTTCGTTTCTCCAGCCATATCGGCGTTACGCGAGCGTGACCGGTCGATCCCGATTCACTGCTCTGATACCATGAAGAAAGATAGAATATATGGGAAATATTTTCTGTATTTCTCAAAGATTACAAACGTGTATGGCCAAATATATACAACTCGGTAATGCCGAGTGCTATACAAACTACGTACAAACCATGCGTGGTTTTAGGAAAGAAAATCGCAAGTTATAAATGCTAAAGACTTTCCTAGTCTAACACTAAGACAAATACGTACACAAGATGTTACATAAAATTAATAAATTAATGATGTAGGCTAACAACTTATGAAATTGTCTGCAACAGTCAGTCCATGCAATTTCCGAGTTTTCGACACAATTTTCACTATTGATCATCCGGAAACAGTCTCCCTTCTTTAGTTCGGGAGTAAGGCGGCGTACATTCGACCCCCTTACCCCACCAAAGGTGTGGGGAGCCTTTGCGGCACTGGAGTAATGATGATGATGAAGTTTATTAAAACTTGGCAGATTTACTTACCTTTGCCATATGCGGACCAATGCTTAGTGTTCAAGTAAACTATAAACACTAAGCATGTGAATTTTATACCACTAGCTGGATTTGCTTCCACTGTAACACTAAGATTGTGGGACTAACAAGAGAAGCATGAATTGTGTTAGTGTGATCCTGAAGAACCTGGTTCTTGTGACTCTGGATGCAATGGTGGGCTAATGAACAGTGCATTTGAATATGCATTGAAAACTGGTGGACTGATGAGAGAAGAAGACTATCCCTACACAGGCAATGATGCTCAAGCCTGCAAGTTTGACAAGACCAAGATTGCTGCTAAGGTAGCCAACTTCAGTGTTGTTTCCCTTGACGAAGACCAAATTGCAGCTAATCTTGTCAAAAATGGACCCCTTGCAGGTTTGCCATATAATTTCTTTTTACTTATGGAGTATGTAATTGTGGTCAAGATGTTGTCACAGCTCACTGCACAAAACTGTGTGACAGGCTTTCACACACCTCAACCATTCACTTATCTATACAAGGCTCGTATTTAAGGCTCCAGACCATAAAAGCTCTACTAATTCATATTCTTCGTATGTAATTCTTAAATATCGTAACTGTTTTAGAATCTTAGACGATATTACTATGATAATATCTGTAGCGCTAAAATTTGTAACTTCCACATATAGTATACGGAGAATATAGCTAAGATTTTGCAAATTGATCTGTATAGGTAGAAGAATACAAGGAGATATCAAACTTGACAAAATTTAGTCTTCAATGGATAATGATATGATGAGTATATAAAGAAAACCAAAACTTGAGATTAGATGAGGAGGGAATAATAATTTCACATATTAGAAATCAAATCGGCATAATCTATGTGAAACTAATCTGTGAAATTCATTACCGCACTACACATATTATAATTGTGTCATTTTAAAACTTTGAATGATGTTTAAAAACTACATAATCAGTGTGGCCTACAATGTTACATTACTATGTACTCGTATATAGTATTACGGAGTATCAAGGTTTCTTTACTCTAAACTCTAAAGAAGATGCATTTAGAGGTCTTTGGAAATAAGGTTTGGATGTTGTTGTAGAGCTTTTTGCCTTTTTGGGAAAAGATTACTAACATACAAGCATCTGGAATTTTGGTTACAGTGGCAATCAATGCCGTGTACATGCAGACATACATGAGCGGAGTGTCGTGCCCGTACATATGCTCCAAGAGGCTGGACCATGGTGTCCTGTTGGTTGGATACGGTGCATCGGGCTTCGCTCCAGTTCGGGCAAAAGAAAAACCATATTGGATTATCAAGAACTCTTGGGGCGAGCATTGGGGAGAGGAAGGGTACTACAAAATCTGCCGGGGTAGCAATATATGTGGAGTCGACTCCATGGTTTCAACTGTTGCCGCTGTTAGCACCACCAATAGCTTGGACTAGCCTCATAAATTCTACATTCAGATTATAGTACTTCTGTACATAATTGAGATTACAATCATACAAGTGTGTATTAAGCTTTAAGTTTCATTAATCAATATTTCTCAATTTAGTTTAAACCACAACTTGTCATGCAATTCTTTACTTTTTAAAATGTATCTCTATTTATTTTGTCATTATGGGATTATAGGTTATGGAATTACTACACTCCTTAAATCATGTATATTTTTCTACTCCATTTTATATTCACAAAACCAAAATACATTTGCACATATACATACACAATTTATACTACGTGTTATTTGAAGTGGTTGTTGAATGTTGACCAAACATATAATGTTTGTATCACAATATTATATTTAGAGTAAAATGATGTCCTTTTATAATGGCTCACACTCAAACCTCCTGACCTCTCTACATGGAATCATCACCGATAGCATAATACTTGCAACAAAAGACCAATGAATGAATGATATAATTGAAATAATTGATAACTCACTTCTCTGTTCACGGAATGGTGGAGAAACAGAGAAGTACAAAGAGCTGAAGAAATTGAGGACTTCAAATTTTCTCTAACGGAGGAAGAAAACGGATAAAAAGGTAATAATCTAAAGTTCAACGTACAATTAAATTTTGCTTAAATGTTACACTAATGCATTTTATATTCCCAAATGCCCATTTCTCTCATTCACATTTATAAGTTTGTGGATAGAAAATAAATGGCTGTTGATGATCCTATTCAAAATTAATTTGTTTTTTTGAAATATTACAAAAATTCCAACAATAGAGAATAAGAGATGAATCTTGTTTAGCCTGAACCGAATCGAAGCCTGATGCACTGTATCGGACCATCAGGACACCTTGGTCCAGTTGAATGCATATACACTACACTGATTGCCAATGTATCAAAAATTCCAAATGCTTGTATGTAAGTACTCCGTAATATTTTGCTTTAAATGAATCTATTTTAGTTAAAACAAACTTTAATAATCCATAGTAATAGACTAAGGTGCTGTTCTGTTCGTCTTATTCTTATTACTTATTGATTATTCTTATTTTATTCAGATCAGATCAGATCAGATCAGAAAGATTCAGATCAGATCAGATCAGATCAGAAAGATTCAGATCAGATCAGAAAGATTCAGATCAGATCAGAAAGATTCAGATCAGATCAGAAAGATTCAGATCAGATCAGACAAGATCAGAAACATTCAGATCAGATCAGATCAGAAAAGTTTTCACTTTTATTATTATTATTATTATTATTATTATTATTATTATTATTATTATTATTATTATTATTATTATTATTATTATTATTATTATTATTATTATTAATATTATTATTATTATTATTATTATTATTATTATTATTATTATCATTATCATTATTATTATTATTATTATTATTATTATTATTATTTTTATTATTATTATTATTATTATTATTATTATTATTATTATTATTATTATTATTATTATTATTAGTAATATTATTATTATTATTATTATTATTATATTATTATTATTATTATTATTATTACAATATAATAATTATAATAATATGATTAATATTATTATAATATTATATTATAATTCTTATAATTATAAGTATAATCAATTATAATTATTATAATTATAAGTATAATTAATTATAATTATAATTAATTATAATAATTATATTTATAATTACAATCATAAATACAATTATGATTATAAATATAATTATAATATAATATTATAATAATATAATACTTATTATAATAACAATAATCATATTATTATTATATTATTGTAATAATAATATTAATATAATAATATCTTTATAATAATATTAATTGTATTTATATTACTATTATTATATTATAATATTATAATTAATGTTAATATAATTATACTTATAATTATATTATAATTATAAATTATGATTATAATTATTATTTTTATTATAATTATTATTAATAATATTATTATTACTATTGTAATTATTTTACGGATTAATTATAATAATATTGATAACTATAGTTACAATTATAGAGATAAATATTGTAATTATAATTACAATTATAATTACATAATTAATTATAATTAAAAATATAATTACAATTATAATTGTATCTATATTTATAATTAGTGTAATAGGTATAACTTTTTTCATTTTAAATTTAATTTTAATTATTATTATTATTATAGTTAGGATTATAATTATAATTTTATTTAAATTATATTTTTAATTACAATTTTAATAATTATAATAATTATTATTATAATTATAATTATAGAAATATTCAAATTAGATCAGATCAGAAAGATTCAGATCAGATCAGAAGGATTCAGATCAGATCAGAAACATTCAGATCAGATCAGACCAGATCAGAAACATTCAGATCAGATCAGAAAGATTCAGATCAGATCAGATCAGATCAGAAAGATTCAGATCAGATCAGATCAGGTCAGAAAAATTCAGATCAGATCAGATCAGAACTTAAAAAATTCAGATCAGAAACATTCAGATCAGGCGAAGAGAACAGCTTCTAATATATTTAGGAATCTGCCTAATATATATTTAGGAATCTGCCTAATATCTATTTAGGAATACTTTATATTTTGGCAACTCCTCTATTATAAATATATCTGTCAGGACTCCTATTGGAGTACCTCTTTCCCATTATTTCACATGGTATCAAGAGCTATTGGTTTGTAGATACATTTTTTGTTTTTTTTTTTTTCGGTTCCCATGAACCTTATTATACCCGCCGCCGCCTCGAGGTCGACTACCGCCACATTTACGGTAGTCTCTGATCCTTTGAAGATGAGCGCGGCTAATATGGCGCAGATCACCTCCTTCGCGTCGCTTAACACGGTCTTGCTTCTAGCGTGCCGTTGAGTTCGCCGGCTGCTGCTGCCTATGTCCGCGCAGCCCACCTTCTCTGTGTCGCTGACCACGGTGCTTGCTTCAAGCGCGCTGTTGAGTTCGACGCTTGCTGCTGCAGACATATATTCTCATGGAGATCATATTATCAAAGATGTGTCTTCTAATCTTCCGCTCACGGATATATTTACTAAGAGTTTTTTTTTTTGCAATTTCATTTTTTAAAGGACAACCTGCGCGTTGTATCTTCCGCACAGTTTGATGGGGTGTAATAGACTAATATATTTAGGAATCTGCCTAATATATATTTAGGAATCTGCCTAATATCTATTTAGGAATACTTTGTATTTGGGCAACTCCTCTATTATAAATATATCTGTCAGGACTCCTATTGGAGTACCTCTTTCCCATTATTTCACACATAGACCATAGTAATCTAAATGAAAGACTAAATTTTGTGAAGTTTGATATCTACTTGTATTCTTCAACCTATATGTATCAGTTTGTGAGACCTTAGCTATATATGTAGCATGATTTTGGTTCAAGTGAGAAATGCATCTAATGTGAGAAATGAAAATGAATCTCAGCCATTGGATTTCCGATTTTGCACTAAAAATAGCTTGATGTTGCAGTAAGATTTAAATTTTTGCAGTGTTGCACTAAAACTGTTTCATATTGCGCTAAAATTTGACGACGTTGCATCAAAACAATTTCATGTTGCACTAGATGGCTATAATACGGATTTTTCAGAAAATGCTACCAAACTATATTGCATATTTTAGTGCAATATAAAGTGTTTTTACTGCAAATTAGACGAATCCAACGACTGAAATTCATTTTCATTTCTCATTCTTAATACGAGTAGTAACAAAGTTTAGAGCTACGATAGTATCATAGTAATACCGTCTTGGATTCTAGAACGGTTACGGTGTTCAATAATTACACATGATGTATATGAATTATTAGTAGAATTTTTGTGTCTTAAACCTTAAAAATGAGTCTTGTTTAGATACGTAAATGGGTTTATGTATGTGAAAGCCTATCACGCACTTTTGTGCAGTGAGCTATGACAATTTTTTGACCACAATTACAAACTAAGTTACCTTACCTAACAGCAATTTGTACATATGTGAATTTAAGAAACTCAAACACATACGTAGTATTTGATAAGAAAATGAAGTCCATTTAAAACAAATTACAAAGCCCACCATTTGTATTTCTTTATTGGATTACAAGCGTATATACTTCAAGTTTCGAGTTTTTTTTCGTATTAATGCTAATTAATTAAGTATTTACGAAAATAGGGTTGATTTGAAAGCATTTATGGATATACTGTTGGGCTTAATCCTGGTCGGGGTAAGTCGCCAAACCGTTTTGCGACTTATAAGTCGCCCAAACTCGAAACAAATACAAATGCATAATTTAAAGATAATGCTTCGTATAAATTATGAAACTAAAAACCTAAAATTTGTGTTATATTACAAAACATTAGATTAAACACATAAAAAATTAAATATAGTTGAAAAATGCATTGTTTATTTCTTATATGAAATATACGTAGTAGTTATAAAATATGGAAATAAGGTTACAGATTTTTTTATTTTATACGTAGTATTTTATTTTTTATTTTGAATTTTTCCATAAACGATAAATATTTCATATCAACATATTTTATATTTTCAACATGTATTTTATATATTATTAATTATTATTTATTTTTTTAACTTATGTTTTTTTTTCTCAAAATTTTGACATTTTTTAGGGTTGAGGGGGTAAATTGAGCGATTTGGTCGGGTTCAGGGGCTTATTTGACCCATTAAGTTGCCAAGTCACATGCACAGGTTACACCCTACCGGGTGACATGGCGGTGACCGGATTGAAACCTGCAAAAGTGATTTTTTATCGACTTCAGGGTGCTAATTGGAGCTTTTTTGGATTCAGGAGGAAATTGAGCAATCCGAAAGGGTACATAGGCCTGATAGGCCTATTTGACCCTTTAGCCTTTTTAATACTACGTAATAGAAAAGCTAGAAGACAAATCAAACATAGCCTTAGTCACAACCTATGAAGCACGGATACTTCACTTGGGTGCCGTGTCGGCGTATCGGAAACGTTCATGTATACTCGTACCGTACGTTCCGGGGCTGTATCAGCAATTTTTAAAAGTTTCCAATTTTTTGGTAATTATTTTAAAATTTCGGATACTCGTATCCTAGCGGATACCCGTATCAACTTTTTTTAAAAAAAAAAATCTTCCAAAACAAAACTTTTTTAAAAAAACACTCAAAATTTACCTAATAAAATTCTTAAAAAATGAAAAGCTAAAAATAATGTTTACCTTGCTTTTATGTGGTACACAACTAATGGACTTATTCCTAATTCACTCATCCTCCTATCCCTAATTCTAATTATCCCTGTAAATTAATAGTTCCAACGGAAATATGTATTATAACTTTTAAAATATTATTTTCTATCGTCATTATTCTAGAACTTTGAGTACTAGCACTTTAATTTCAGAACTATGGTTGTTTGACTTATTTCTCATTTTAGATTAATGACTTATTGACTATATTTATATTTCAAGGTGCACTAGTGTATATGAGATAAAATATGAACTTATTTTTAAGTATCTTGAAAAACTAAAATGCTTCAATGTCATGAATGAGTAGACGTCAGAGGATAATATATATATATCTATTTTTTTCAAAAGTTGTATTTTTAATAATTATAAACACACCCCTGTAACTTTTAATATTTATAAATACACCCTCATAACTTTTAATATTTATAACCTCGTATCTGTATCCTACTTTTTTCGGTTTTGTCGTATCCCCGTACCCGTTTCCGCGTTTCCGAGTATCCGTATCGGTGCTACATAGGTCACAACTCCTTAGTCACAACTTTAGCAGACTTTGTTAATTTTGGTATGACCAGAGTGCCTCTTAAACTTGGACTAATAAAAAATTGTTGTATACTACGTATTAGGACTTGTTTAACCCAGCTTGCCTTATAGTGCGCATATATTCAACATTTAGATAAAAATTGATTCGAAACTGAAATTGTTGTCAACTAAATAAGGATACAGAGAATGTTGTTTTTACTTTAAGGCAATTGGTAAGAAGCAAAGTCAATCTGCAAGTAATATATTTACCTTCTTCTCGAGCTCTAGTCCTTGAAACCAAATTACATAATTCGAGTAGAGAAAATATAATTTTTACTCAAAAAATATTGCACAGTCGA